CACCCAGCGGTCGGGGGGGAGGCAAGCATTGATCCCTGGATATCCAGGGATCAAAAAAACCCACGGAAAAAAAAAGCAGAGGGGACAGCATGCACCAGTCAAAACTTGAGCCAGACCAGCTGGAGCCATGCTCTGGCTGCAGGTCAGACTCCAAGCAGCAGGATCATTGCTGCTGCAGCACTAGGAGGCCCCCAGGATCCTAGGCAAGGCTCCTGAAGCCAGCCAGCCCAGTGCTGGCCCCAGCTTCTCCTGTCCCACCTGAGGTAACTTGCCATGCACCAGAGGGCGCATGACACAAGTGTTCCCTGGGGACAACTAGCGGTGGCACAAGGTATGATGCTGCTAACTGTCCCTGGGGAACCAAATGTCTATGCTTATGTGGATGCGGCCATACAGGGTAAACATTCAAAGACCAAATAAGATAATGCTTCCCTTCTACAAGGCTTAACTGGATAACAATATATTATGTAGGGTACAGGAGGGCTGTGCGAAACTTCAGGCAGTGATTCAATTCACAGGAGATTCAGCCCAATTTAGTGGCTGAATCTCCAAATCTGGATCGGATCAAGGGACCAATAAAAAGGTCCAAATTGATTGGAAGCTCTCTGGATCTTAGGAAAAGATTCAGAGAGCTTCGATGATTTAGGCAGTCCCCACTACTGCTGCAGCAGGGACCTGGAGCCAATCTTGAAGCTGGTAAGTAGGGGGTGGGGGAGAGGGGGCTGGAGGAGGTGGAAAGGGACCATGGGGAAGACCCCTGCCAGGCCCCATCCCCTGCCTGCTCCCCCAGCCCTCCCCCCGACAGCTGCCCTGCCCTGCCTGCCCCAGGTCTGTCCCTTTAAGGAAAAAAACCCGATACTCACCAGCTCCTGCAGTGGCCTTGGGGCTTTGGGGGGCTTGTGCAGAGGCCCCCCACGTGGCGCAGAGCAGTGGGGGACAGCAGGGATCACCCCTGCCAAGCAGGAACTGGTGAGTTTGGGGGGGGTTTCCTTAAAGGGCCAGAGGTGAGGTGGGCGGGGCAGCCATGGGGGGAGCCCTAGGGCAGCAGGGGGAGCCAGAGCCCCCCCACGCAGCGTGGGGCAGTGGGGATCGCCCCCCACCTGACAGCACCCAGTGAGTCGGGGCTGGGAGAGCAGGTGGAGGATGGGCCTCTGTGATTCAGCTGAATTGATTCGAGACAGTGATTGAATCACTGAATCGAATCACTGTCCCTCGAATCGGCTGAATCTGAAGTGACTACTAGCTGCTTCACACAGGCATACAGTACAGCATTAAAATCTGGGATGTGCTGCGACTGCTTTAGAGCACTTCAGGAAAGGAAATAAGTTTGCATGTGGGATCTATTGAGGTATCACCCTCCTTACAACAGCAGGGAAAATCCTTGCCCACATCCTCTTGAATCATTTTCTGCCTCTTGCTGAGGAATTCCTGCCAGAATCTCAGTGAATTTCAGACCATTCCATGGGGCAATTGACATGATCTTTGTTGCCCCTCAGGTCCAAGAAAAGTATCGGGAACAACATCATTCGAATCTGGAACGGGCTTCCAAGGGAGGTGGTGCTCTCCTCTACCTTGGGGGTCTTTAAGAGGAGGTTAGACATGCACCTGGCTGGGGTTGTCTGACCCCAGCGGTCTTTCCTGCCTGGGCAGGGGGTCGGACTCAATGATCTTCTGAGGTCCCTTCCGACCCAAGCATCTATGAATCTATGAATCTATGAAAACCACATTTTACTTGAATACTAAGGTGACAGATATTCAAATTTTGAAGAGAAAACAGGAGATGGCAAAATCATTCACTGGTCATAAAAAAAATGTTATCAGCTTAATTTTAATTTAACATATTATGTTTTAAGAAAGTTGCACAAAGGAAGTTTTATTACAATGTGAGCATATCTTTGCAGTGAAATAATGAAATAGGTAGGGTCTGTATGAGGAAATTTAAAGAACTGAGTAAATACCGAAAAAAATGTAAAACCAGCCCTTTGTTTTTTCACTGGAAATTCTTGTGCCATGAAAGGGTCAGTATACAACTATTCAGTTGTTTATGCAGCTATCTAAATGCTACTTCTTTTTTCTGGTATGATTTCAAATATTCTGCATCAGTGACAAAAGTGACAATGCTGGTAGATGAATAACAATGTCCAGGAAATAGTGCCCACCTATCAAGTTCACAACAGAACTGAGGAAGATTATCGTGAAGTACAACAAGTCTGCAAGGTACAAATAAACTCATGGGGCTGTTTCTACAAACTTCACATGGCTAGATCTGTTTAAATTAAATATCAATTTCTATCAGGGGAGAATAAGCACTAATCCAATTTATGAGTGAAAGAAAGGAGGATATAAGACTCAACTGGCTTGAAAGATAAAGTACCTGTGAACGAGTGATAGAGAGTAAACAAAATCCCCGAGGTGCCTTACATGTTGGGCAGGAGAGGTCAGGAGAAGAAAAGCAGCTGGCAACAACAAACAGGGAAAGTGAAAGCAAGCAACATGTATAGCATGGCTGGCTGGCAGGGCTGCAGCTGGAGACCAGAAGGGAAGAGAAGCAATCACCACACTTCCAGAGCAGCATCTCACTCCAGACTGGAGGAGGTAGGCTGCTCAGAGTTATTTCCAGCCCCAGACAGGAGTAGAGGGGGGGTCAATTTCCTACAAGCCGCATTGGGACTGTGAATGCTCATGAGTAAGATGGGGTAGGCCTATGCAGAGCAGTGACTGGACTGATTTTTTTTGTTGTGATTGGGACATGAGAGTCTGACCCCAGGTGAAGAGGACATGGACTGAGTCTGACAAAGAAACTGAGAGCAGTCGGGCTGTGTTTTCTCTTTTTTGGGGGATATTTGAGTGCAGGCCAAGGCCAGTCCTGGAAGAGTGTGCACCTAACCAATGCCGACGGTCACCCTGGTGGTCGAGGGCAGAATAATAGACCAACAAGCAGCATTAAAATCTGGCCACAGAGAACTATGACTGCCACCTGGAGAGATGAGTGTAGGGTAAAGGGGAGCCCCACAGAAGAAAATAAGGATTGAGACCAGGTAGGATCACCTTGGGCATTGCCTCCTAGCAATATAATATCAAAGTCATGGCAGGAGAGAAATATAAGACCAACTTCCTGGCAGATCAAGTTATCTGAAGCCAAGGCCCACCCTATCACCGCCTGTAGGAAAATGAGCTCAGGTCAGTGGCAGCAAGCCCTACAATACCTACAGTTGTCACAGTACCACATACCAAAACTGTATTACAAATCATGACAAGCTAATTTCATAGCAATTATTTTTTATTTTATAATGAACCAAAGAGCATCAGATCACTAATTCTTCTGAAATTTCTGCTAGTTGCTAAAGTATTGTATATGATTTCTGAAAATCAAACTTTTTTACTCCAGTTAAATCAGCATTGTAAATAGAAACTTAGAAAGTTTGCCCTATTTAATTAAATTTCATAGCACATAGTATAATGATCTAATTCTTCTTCCAGGGCAGTGAATGGCAAAAATCTCACTGCTTTTCATGGGAGCAAAGTTGAGCCTGAAGTTATTCCCTGATTATGATAATTATAAACATGCAAAGAAGTTTCAAATATCAACCTTCCCACAGAGGTTGAATAGAAAAACTAAATATATAATTAGTACAAAGCTTTGAACATTTAATTACATTAATAATATGTGTCACTATGCTCCTATTAAATATGACTGAAATTAACCACCACCCATGTTTGCCTCATTTATAAACAATACCTCTGCAGTTTCTAACATTGAATTGATGTTGCAACATCATAATATCTTATTTAAGAGTAAGTAGCATTTGTTATTCTTTCTATATTACAATTATAGCGGCATATCTATGCCGCTATGATTAAGGAAGCATCAGTATTTCCACTATAATCTCTTATTTTAATGAAGAGTGCAATTGGACCATAAACATTTCCCTCAAACTACAAGTTAACATAAACTTGAAACTGAAAAGTTATTTTGGTTTTCAGTCATAAGAAGGATTTGGTTTTTCCCTTTACAAATTTTAATAATCACACACTAGAAGAAATAGGTCTAAATAAGGGAAGAGTGAAGATAGTGAAAAATGTACATAGGGGGTAGGCCCAAGAGACTAAAAGGGTTATAATGCACTGTGTAGCAAGGAGCTTGGTGCTCCTACTACTTTAAGGGAAGGCAGGTGCAGGAGAAGCAGTGGCCAGTCAAGGGCACCACATGGAAGGGACTGGGCTTGCGGGACATAAGCCCAGGGCCTGAGCTTGGCAGGCAGTCTGACCTAGAAGTCATAGAGAGAGTTGATCCTGAGCATAAGCGCTGGAGCAAGGCTCCTGATTAACACCTGAGTTGGGGTAGGCAAAAATTGATGCTTTAGGGATTGAGACTGTATGGGCAGCGGAGGTACCAACTAGCCTGAGAGCAAGGCCAGGGCCTGAGGGATAGGAGCCAAAGCTGAGAGGCAGGGCCACAGCCACAGAGGGTCAGGGACCCGTAGCTCATGAGGGGCAAGAACCGGGGTCAGGGATCCATAGCTTGAGGGAGCAAGAAGCAGGGTCTGAGACCCATAGTCCAGGAGGAGTGGAGTCTGTTGGAAGACAGAGGCCTGAGCCCAAGATGGGCAGAGAATGCCGGCCTAGGCCCAAGAGGGGTTAAGATTGGTCAAGGTATAGAGGCCTGAGCCCAGGAGGGGCCAGGATAGTTAAAGGCACCAGGGATAGAGGCTCCAACAGTGGCAGAGACCATTTCAGGTACAGAGGCCTGTATTGAACTTCTCAAGTACAAAAAATAAGGCTGAAATTTTTGCAAATATTTTCTTAGGATCTCTGGTATGGAATCTCCTAAATAAAAACTGGCAAATAATTCTTACCCAAATATTTTAGGAGTTATGAAAATGTTGTTTAAGTATTGGTATGATGATGTTAAGGATGAGCTTCATCTTTTGTACATCTTTTATTTTGGGTCACTTCACTGATCAAGTTATTACAACAAATAATAATAGTCTTGGACATACCTCCAGGCCTTTCGTGCCCTCCATCAGTATGTAAAAGCATTGAAATAGGCATTCCTACATGCTTAGATCTTCCAGCTACAAGAACATTTTTTCCAAATGTCTGTATTCCTTACAAGAAAAAAAACAAAAAACATATTCAACTAGTTTGAGAAACCTAAAAAAATCTGTACATTTTAATTAGATCTGTCATCAGTCTCAAACAGCAAGTTTTTACTTAAGGAAAGTTTCTGTCAAACATTAAATTGGTGAATTAATTAACAGAACTATGAAATCACCATACTTTTGAAACTACTCTTTATTTTTTCCTATTGTATAATTAAAATAAGTTGATTCAAGAAAGATTTTTGTCCATAAATTTATCTTTTTTACAGCTTATCACTAATATTATTAATCTTTACAAATAATTAAGCATATTTAAGCCTCAGTCAAATTGTAGTATAGGTATTTGGTTTCAGTATTATAAAAAAGGTAAATATTATATCAAATCACCATAAAAATGCATTATAAACTACAACAGAGGGTATGTACGCTATACAATAACTATTCTCTGTGCGCAATTTTTCGCATGTTTCCTGGCCTCATGTTTCTTATTCTACAAGTAGAATGTTGCTTCTTCCTTCTCACTGTTCTCTAAATATTCTTTTAACCATTTCTTCTGCAATCAATCAGATATAGAACCTAGCCTGTATTTTACCATATAATTTCCTTGACATTTATATATGCTTTCTCAGCATCATTAACCTTTACCCCCGACAAACATTTCAATAAAGATTAGTTTCCTACCTGTTCGTTTGATAATTTCCCAAACAGCAGCAGCTGTGGCAGGTATCACAGAAGGCTGATCTAAACAAAGTCGTCCAATGTTGATAACATGAAATCCATCAACATCTTTTTCAGGAGCAACAGCATTGCAGACTGTTCTCTCATCTATGTGATCTGGAAGATTGTCATTTCAAAATTACGATTCTTCTCAGTTGTCAACCAAAGTGCGCTATTGCAATGCTTTAATTTCAAGGAATGCAAAAATCTAGAACTCTTGGTTGAGAAATTATACCTTTTATTAGACCAACTAGAAAATTGCAAAAAAAATATTTTTTTCTGCAAGCTTTTGGGGTCAAACATCCTTCATCAGGGTCTGATAAAATTAAAGATAGTAAAAAGTCCCCATAGGTAGAAAATAAACTTCATTTTTGCACAGAGGGAGTTGGAGATGGAAAATCTGTCTCCCTTGGTCCATATGAGTGTCTCTGTGAGTTGTTGAGTTGCTCTTTGTTGTGTAGATCAGGTATCAATCCTTCCCTGGAGTGTCAGATGGCAAGCAGGGAGGTTTAATAATCTTTCTTGTTGTTCTGCAATGAAGTTTAAAATCCAAAATTGGCTAAAATTCAGCATCTTCTATGTTTCAGGGATGTATTTGCTAGCCATGTTGATCAAACAGTAATGCAAAATCTAGAATTCTTGGTTCAGAAATGATCCCTTTTATTAGATCAACTAGGCAATTACAAAAAAAAAAATTAGAAAAAGATTTTTTGTGCAATTTCCAAGTTGGTCTAATAAAAGGTATAATTTCTGAACCAAGAGTTCTAGATGTTTGCATTTCTTTTTGTCTCAGACCAACACAGCTACCAAATACATCCCTTATTTTCAAGGAAAAATTCACAAATTTTATTCAGCTGAGTAATTTGTAGGGTCACAAACTTGTATTCATTAAAACTAAACTGCATTTTTAAATTCTAATTAAAATTGACTTTTCTAAGCCAAATGCTGAAAGCTAAGTGATACCATTTTTGATGCTCACAGCACTGGGGCCTTATGGAAGATACCAAAAACATATATCAAACTGAGAATAATTACCGCTATCAAAAACTAATATATAAGACAAACAAATAGGCCAGTTTTTTCCCTGAAGTTCTTCACAAATTTAAGTTACCATATGGAACAAAGACTTCATAGAAAAAAAAATGTGTTCATCCAAGAAACAAAGGATTTATGGCTGGATATATTTGAAAAGAACTTGGACACCTAACTGCAATTAGATTAAAAACTCTTCAAATGTACCCCAAGTTTTACTTTGGCCCCAGAACTTTTTCTTGCCCCCTCTTTAAAGATACAGTCCTTACCAAAGCCCAGTTTCAGCATAACAAGAATCACTGTAGGATACATACAATGGAAAGGAAGCAGTGCTTCCACATGTCCAATCTAATACCCAGACTACAGGAAAGTTGGAAAAAAAACAAAAAAAAAACAAATAAAGGAAGAGAAGACTTGTCTACAACAGCCTTCAATCCTGACTTTTGGTGCAAAATTTATTTTGCCCATGTGATAAGAGTAATAACCTTGCCTTTTTTGTGGAAAAATAATGTGGATTTGTTTTCCATATTGGAAACAAAATATAACAGAAATAAGAAGACATCAGAACTTAATTGGAACTTAACAGGCAATTAGGAACATATAATTAAGGTGTTTTAAAATAGTGAGAATTATATTAGACATCATATGTTTTAACAGAAACATATACAATATACACATTAAAGTGTATATGAATAAGGAGATAAAAGAGGCACTTTTATGTTTAACTTATCCAGAAAGGAATATCCCTCTTTGATTCCTAAAATGAAAGACTGATGTCAGCATACACATTGTGAAAATTAAGATTTGAAGCACTGTCACACACATGAGTTCCAGGGGTGGCCATGATGTCCCTGGAAACTCCGTGACCATGCCCACTCTGCCCCTGGGGTGACTTTTTATCTTTCCTGACATGCCTTGTTGGAAATACAATGATAAGGAGGCTGCCCTGATCTTATTGTAATGACCACCCAGATTATGGTAATGGATTTGTGGGCCCATTGTGTAGGTCCATACATCCCCTACACCATGTCTCATGCTTTGCAGATATTCTGTCAGTCTCTCCTCTGGCCCCACTCCAAGTTCATAGAATCATAGAATCAATGAGTCGGGAAGGACCTAGACAGATCATCGAGTCCGACTCCCTGCCATGGGCAGGAAGGAGCACTGGGAGTGGGAGGGGTCATAAGACCACAGCCAGGTGCCTATCCAGTCTCCTCTTGAAGATTTCCAGGGAAGGTGAGAGCACCACCTCTCTGGGAAGCCTATT